GTTTGTATATTTGTAGTATTCACATTACTTTCTGATTTGTAGTTTGTGGTATTCACATTACTTTCTGATTTGTAGTTTGCATATTTGTAGTGTTCACATTACTTTCTGATTTGTAGTTTGTATATTTGTGGGGTGCCGGTCCCATTACAACGGGCGATCCGGTCTCTGTACGACTGCAGTAGGAGCTGTGTCCGCATTCTCGGCAATAAGTCAGACACGTTCCCGGTGGGTGTTGGCCTCCGCCAGGGCTGCCCTTTGTCTCCGGTCCTGTTCGTGACTTTCATGGACAGGATATCTAGGCGCAGCCTGGGGGTGGAGAATGTCAGGTTCGGGGGTCTCGGGATCGCCTCTCTGCTGTTTGCAGATGATGTGGTCCTGTTAGCCTCCTCGGAGCATGACCTCCAGCATTCACTGGGGCGGTTCGCAGCAGAGTGTGAAGCAGCGGGGATGAGAGTTAGCACCTCCAGATCTGAGGCCATGGTGCTCTGCCGGAAACCGGTGGATTGCTCTCTCCAGGTGGGGACGGAGTGCCTACCTCAAGCGAAGGAGTTCAAGTACCTCGGGGTCTTGTTCACGAGTGAGGGTAAGATGGAGCGGGAGATTGACAGACGGATCGGTGCGGCTGCAGCAGTAAAGCAGGTGCTGCACCGGACCGTCTTGGTGAAGAAGGAGCTGAGCCGGAAGGCAAAGCTCTCAATTTACCACTCTGTCTACGTTCCTACCCTCACCTATGGTCACGAACTCTGGGTCGTGACCGAAAGGACAAGGTCGCGGCTACAAGCGGCCGAAATGAGCTTCCTCCGTAGGGTGGCCGGGCTCAGCCTTAGAGATAGGGTAAGGAGCTCGGTCATCAGGAGGGAGCTTGGAGTTGAGCCGCTACTCCTTCGCGTCGAAAGGAGTCAGCTGAGGTGGTTCGGGCATCTAATTAGGATGCCTCCTGGACGCCTCCCACTGGAGGTTTTCCAGGCACGTCCAACTGGGAAGAGACCCCGGGGAAGACCCAGAACACGCTGGAGGGATTACATCTCCCAGCTGGCCTGGGAACACCTTGGGATCCCCCAGAATGAGCTGGAACATGTTGCCGGTGAGAGGGAAGTCTGGGTCAGCCTGCTTGGCCTGTTGCCACCGCGACCCGACCCCGGATAAGCGGAGGAAAATGGATGGATGGATGGATGGATATTTGTAGTGTTCACATTACTTTCTGGTTTGTAGTTTGTATATTTGTAGTGTTCACATTACTTTCTGATTTGTAGTTTGTATGTTTGT